TTTTTTTTTTAAATAAATAGTGTGGTGTTTGAGCACAGTTCTTCACTCCAGAATGGTAACCAATGTTGCAAATGCACGATCCAATTTAACTTCGTGTGAAATTTATCTTATTGCTTTGTGTCGTTTCCTTACCGCTGTTTACTGCATCGCTTTGGCTTCTGTTTGAGTGGGGCAGCAAGATTTGCCACGGTGGACATCGACTCACATCTCGATGCACGAACGTTTCCATACATTGGAAGAGTGACGCTGCGATTGCATGAAATTTGCCCAATTGGACGGTGAATTAATAGAAGACATCTATTGGGCGAGAGGACCGTGTCTTCACCAGCAAGTTGTTTTCAATTGGACACTCCAATCCGGCGGAAGATGTTGATTTGAGCTTTGCTTCGATGTGTAAAGCGTTTTTGTGTGAGAACCACGTGCCATCCACACGCCGCCGTGCGACACCAATGCGAGCAGACCGCCATATTGACGCCCAATAGCCACAACTCTCTGGGTTTTAAAATTTACAAATTCTGCACGGGTGCATGTTTTACTGTACGGACTGGACCGTATTTTTACGAATCTAACCTGCCTCAAGTGAAATTGATGCCGTCGTATACTGTAGTGGTGTTGTTGATAGTAGCAACAACCACAGTTGAAACAGATTTCCCCCAAAAGTTACTGTACACGTGCCTACGAGTTACCTCTAAAAAATATAGATGCCTACTATCACGAGTCGTGATTCATGACCTGAAGTAGTTGAAGTAGCGTGAGTCAGGTTGTTGGATTCCAATTTGGAAAGGCAGAGCGCCGCTTGTCATCGGCTTGGACTTTCCGACCGAATCGCGGATAGTCTTGCTCAATTTAACGACCTTCGTACCCCGGAGTATTTTAAAAAGATCATGAAAGAGCCAAAGCAGGATGTGTGAGGTGTTGCCCCCTCGCATCAGTAATTCACCGCTGGATCACAAAATGTGACCCAACGAAATACTTCGAAGTAACAGTTTCGGTCGTTGGACGGAATAAAATGCTCCAGATAGCCCAACCTGGCAATCATGCAATATTGCCAGTATTGGTCAGGCATAGAGGAGACGAGTTGAGCAACAATGTAGCTCAACTACTGTTTTGCTCAGAATTTTACTCAGAAGTTGAACTTACTCAAAGTTTTACTCAGCGTAAGGAGAAGAGTTGAGCATCGATGCAGCTCAACTTCTGTTTACTCACAGTTTTACGCAGAAGTTGAGCTGCATCGTTGCTCAACTCTTCTCCTCTATGCCTGACCAATACCGGCAATATTGCATGATTGCCAGATCAGGCTACCATATTTGGTATTCATGTGCGCCATTGTCTACCATGATCAACCACAAGAAAATGATGGTACATTTACAACGCTGCTATTGCTTTTTATGTTATAATCACTTTTGAAGGCTTGCAAGCAGGGACTCCAGAATTGGTTCCAACTACAAAACACATATTTTAACACGCCATTAAATACCTAGACCGAGACATAACTGCCTTCAGTAGCATACACTACCGGTCAAAATAAACCGGCCACCCACGT